AGCGTCTTTTCCATGGTGACTTGCTTCTGGATTTTTTTATTGTTTTAAATTTTCAACTCAATAGCCATCCCTTACATTTTATATGTAAATCCAAACACAACTCAGTGTGCAGAATAATTTGTATATATGAGCGTATTTGATTTGGATACATATTTCTGAGTACCAGGAACTGGGAAGATATCAATTTATTTTAATGTTCTAGAAAAACACGCCATCATAAACCTTTTGACAAGAAGCTAAGTCTGCCTTTCAAAATCAAGAAAGAGGTGTTTGATCCACTGACTTGGGGGGTATTATCCACAGCTCTGCTCCCAGGATGGCACAACGAACCAGTTGTGCAAGGTGAGCCCAAGCCATTGCGCCAAAGTGCTTTCTAACCCCTTAAAACCTACAGCCAGGCGAAGCCCTCCTCCACTTCAGTTGTACCAGACTGGGTTCTTTCTGCTGGAAAATAGTCTCACTGCTTTTATTCAAGCCCAAGATGTGCAGCACCCCCTGATATGACTGTCCTGCTGGGCCAGCTTGACCTTTCCAGGGGTCATCAGCATTCACCCCGGCCAGGCCTGCCGGTTTCCCTGACACGTGGCAAGTTCGGGAAAGGCTACCAGTGTCCTCCCCTACAACTGCCGCTCAGGCGCCCAGGAAGCACAACAGGGTCTCTGCTGTGACACTTTACTTGCAGCTCATCTGATTTTAGTTTCTTGCTCTGGCTCCTTGAGATGGAATCCAGGCTAAGCAGGAAGGTAGGGGAGAGGTGCAGAAACAGTCTCACTGGTCAGGGACAAAGTCATTGCCCCAGAAAACAGGGAACTCCCCAAAACACCACATATATTTAGTTTTCGTGTGGAAATTGGAAAAGTCAGATTAGGAGTATGGACATGAGTGTGGGCTTTCCATTTTCAGAATCTACTTTGTATGTGTTTGTCTAGGAATTTGATAGCTTGTCAGTCACAGCCCATTTGGCTGGCAGGCCTTTGGTGGGGCCAAGTGACTTTCACCTGCCATTTCAGCAAGATGCCAGATTGGGGCTAATCCTGACCTCAGACAGGATTTGAGAAGTTCAAGCCAAGTTCCCTGCTGTGTGTAAGGGGCTTTCAACCTTCCAGTTCTTGCCAATGTGGCCCTTCAATTACTGAGGACCTCCCTCCAGCATGGGGCTTAAAGGGTGAAAAGGGCTGTAGTCTTGGGCACTAACCTAACCTTAGGTACCAGAGACAGCCTCCTGGAGGAGGCCGAGCTAACTGCTATAGGGAAGGAATTTCCAGGTGACATGGGGTCAAGGTTACAGGCAGAGGAAAGAGAGCACAGTAGGCACAGAGCTGCCAGTCCAGGGAGGCTGGGTATGGAAGTATATAATGAGGGAAAGGAGAAACCAGTTAGAATTTCTTCAAAAATCTTTGCTGTCTTAATTTTTAAACTTGTTTTGGCTGCCTCTTGAGCAAATGCAATTTTTAAAATTAAAATCTCACTAATTAGAAGATAAATTCTTGACTGGCAGAGAATATGCCATATCTCTTCCTTCCCAGCAGAGCACTATCCTACTCTGGAGAGACCTATTGCCAGGCAGCCATGTCCAAATTAGAATCATTGGAAACATGAATGGTAATGACTAATTTCCCTAAGGACCTCTAGGCTTTCCACTCCTGGTACACCTGGCTCTGCTAGGAACACAGAGGCTTCTGCTTCTGAGCCCCTGGCAGAGGTGAGAGGGGCTCCGGGACTAGAGGGGCCAGAACCACACTCACTCACTCTGGGGGACACAGCCAGGATCTTGCTTTTGATGTGCACATTTCTTGCCTCAGGTTGTTGCTGTGTTAATTTCTTGAAAATTTGTAGCAGAATTCAGAATTTTTCAAACAATGGATTTTACAGGGGAGTCCTATGTTCTGAGGAACAATTTAATTTGGGGTTTTAATTTGGAGAGGATGAGAAGAGAGCTTAATATCAGTATCTTCTAGACTTCCCGATTGGTTTAAAGAGAGGAAATAAATGTCCTTGAAGAATGAGGTCTCCAGGAGGCTTGGCTTGGGGTGGGGAACACACAGCACAACATACAGATGATATGTCATAGAATTGCACACCGGAAACCTCTATCATTTTATTAACCAATGTCACCCCAATAAATTTTAAAAAAGAGAGTAAGTTCTCCCAAAGACAGGCAGAATTCAAAAGAACCTGTTCTGGAGTGGATAAGACCATAATCACTCTGTGAGCAACTATTAAGCTCCAGAAAAAACAGCACCCTGAATACGATCATATTGATGTTTTTAATCTCATTGGCTTTGCAGCTTCGTTTGTAATTCAGTTGTAAGATCGTTTCCAGTTTCCAGTTGTATAAGAGCTTTAAGCCCAAAGAGTTGAAATATACACAAAGCTTGGCATAAGTAACTATTTAATAAAAATTTTTATAACAAAATTTTTTCTTTAAAAGAACTCAGGCAAGTCCGAAAGGCCTTAAAGTAGGCAGGCATCCGGCTGCTGGACCTCGAGACGCCCAGTTGGCTTCAGCGTACACGTCCAAGTAGGCGCCTGGCCTGGCTGCCCGCCTGTGGACCCACCCAGTGGAGAGTCAGACCCACCCAACGTGCACCTGGGGACCGCTGCTTCCAAGGCCTTCTGCCTTTGCAGCCTGTCCTGATGTGGCTGTGGTGGTGGGCTGCCAGTTGTCATCTCATCAGGGGCAACTGAAAGTTTCATATCTAAAAGCATTTGGCTGCCCTGGCCGGGTAGCTCAGTTGGTTAGAGCATCGATCTCAGATTAGGGCACATACAATTATCAACCAATGAATGTATAAATAAATGGAACAACAAATCGATGTTTCTTCTCTCTCTCTCCTCCTGTCTCTCTCTAAAATAAATAAGCAAATAAGTAAAACATTTGGCTGGCATCCCCACTGTCCTATGGAATAAGACCCCAAAACTTTGCCTCTCTCTCAGATTTTGACTGGATAGTGCATTAGAAGGGATAGAAAGACAGCTGCCAATCATGTTGATGGGACAGGCCCACTTTTACCAGATGAACTGTACTTGCATAATTCAAACTTTTTAGAAAATCATTCACCCTTTGGGAATGATTGAAGGCAAGAAATCATGAAGGAAAGCAAGAAATTTCACAGGGGTCGACAATTGCTATCTTTATTGTATCCACATGAATATTCAAAGTATAAACATATTTCTTCTAAAACTTGTGGAGTCAATGAGCTGTGCTGTTTAATTAGATGTTGGTCTCTTTGAAGTACTTCTGATAATACTGAAAGTTGTCTAGACATTCTTGAAACTTCAACTTTGTGCCTGTAAAAGTTACAGTACAGTGTTTCTTACTTCAAAGGTATTGTGGAGCGCTCTTATTTTATTCTTTAAACCTTACAGTATGCCACAACTATAAAGTATTAATGATCTTAGTACTGAACAAAAAAGAAAATTTCACAAGGGTGTCCACTTCTGAATTGTTTTATTATCTCAAAAGTTTAGATAAGATGTTCTAGTATCAGTTTTTCTAACTGTCCAGTATATTAGCAATTCCCCTGGTGTGCTTAGGAGGGTGAAGGAATTTCTTAGGCTTTCTGCAGGAATTTAAAGGTGGCATGACTAAGTGGTGAACAGCAGTGATAATGTCTTTTTGCTGTGTCTTTAGCTTTGATGATTAAAAAATAATAATTCTGTTTAAAACCGAAAAGGAGAAGAGAAAGAGGAGGCCATGCAGTCTCTCAGTCAAGCCTGAGAAACTCGGGTAGGAAACCTATTTACGCGTTCTGTGTCCCAAGGTTTCTGTATTTCCCCGAAGAACTAAAGTTTATACATTCTGTGGCTTTGATATTGTGGACCAAAGTATTTTTTTATTCTTCTCCTTACCTTGGCAGGTACAGAAAATCTATACTGCTCAAGACTTCCTTGAATCTGGAAACCATCAGTTTGAGCTAAGAAGTCGGGCCTTTGCCTTCAAAGTGGAAATCTTAAAAGAAAGGACTGCATGAAGAATCCTGAGATGGAGAGACCACTTCAAATGTCTTAAACCTGGGTGGGTAGCTCTTTGGGCAGGAAACAGACTTGCTCAAGAGACTTTGGAAAAGGCAGTGGCGAACTGGCAGGTAGACTGAGGCCATTCGATTGACCCATTAAGGGCATCTGTCCTACAGGAGACCCTGAAGATACTTGCTTGTCAAAGTATCAAGTATTGCAAATTGCTTTACTACTCAATAGGAAGTCACTCAAAACTACTGAAGTGGCCCCAGCAAAGTTGATGTCCATCTGAATGGCAGTGCGGGGCTCTTTAATGAAGTGATCCTCGCTATAAATGCTCTGAAGGCTACCTCTCTGTTCAGTGTCATTTCACACCCTGGGGAAATTGAGAGTTTTGCTATTTTTACATTTTGTTTTGGACCTTACATTCTTCCCAGGTTGGAGAGATCACATTATCCCAGGCCCAATGACACAGTGTCTATAGGGGCCGATATGGGAAGTGTGTACCCATGTTGGTCCCCTCTGAGGCAACACGGGACATCCTGGGGTGGATGTCCCCAGACTTCATTCTCCTCGAAGCCAAAACCCTGGAGAAGCAGAAACCAATCTCACAGAGGACTGCCCACACTTTGAACCTTTCAAGCTCCATTGTTTTTGTGTGTGAAATAGCTAATGATTTAGTTATAAGCAGCCTAATCTTGAGTAATGATGGATCACTGAGATCCCTGAAACTGGCTCCAATCTTCCAAGATTTGGCTGTGGGAGAAAAACCATTTTCTGAGGAAAGCCATTTCACCTTAGAAATGAAACACTTTTTGCAGTTATCAACATTTTGCCTGGTGGTGTGTTCTCTTTCATCCTGCAGAAATAATTTTTTAAAATAATGTGTTTATGGATTTCAGAGAGGGAGAGGGAGATAGAAACATCAATGAGAGTCATGATAGGTCCCGCATTCCCCCTACTAGGGATCAAGCCTGAAACCCAGGCATGTCCTGACAAGGAATGGAACCTTGATCTCCTGGACCATAGGTTGATACTCAACCACTGAGCCATGCCAGCTGGCCCTCAGAAATATTTTAGCATAAAAGTCCTGTAGGTCCAAGATTAAGTCCCATCACAACAGTAACACATTTCTAGTGAGTAGGAAATAGAGAATCTGGGCAACTTAGCCTTCACTATGTGGGCCTCTGGAAACAATTTGGGGAAGGCAGTTGGCAAGTTTGGACAAAAAATGGGGTTCTTTGGAGTGACCTCACAAGGTGATCTGATCCTAAATTCCTAACCAGACAGACAGGTCATGGTGGGTGGTCATGCCTCAAGCCTACAACTTCTTAGTGAAAGGTTTTAACTAGCCCTTTCTGTCCATTCTTGTGCATCTAGGCTGGCACAACTTTGAAATACCCAAAGTAATACCCCTCAAAGGGTGTATTATTTCTCAAGAGAGCACATAACCTTAACTATCTTGTGGTCCAATTCCTGCCAACAGAAAGAGAACTAGTGCTTAGCAGCCGGGTACAAAAAGGTGGCATGGAGGCCTGAGTTCCCTGGGACTAACAGTTCTGTACCTTGAGTATGGTTCCATAAATCTACACAAGAGTGCAGAGAGCTAGATACACGTATGCCTAACACCTAGTGGAGTTTTAGTGAAGCCTGTAGTCTTGTGTGGGAGCCTAAATAGCCCCCCAAAATCCCAGGTTCTAACTGCTGGAACCACATTTTACTTTATCCATAGCAAATGTAAGTTAAGGCTCTTGAGATTATCTTGGATCATCTGGGTGAACTCTAAATGCAGTCCAACAAGCATCTTTATGAAGCAAGAGATTTTACCATAGAAAAGGCAGAAATTGGAATGGTTAGCCAACAAGCCAAGGAATGCCAGCACCCCCAGAGCCTCTGGAGGGTTCCGCACACACATTTCAGTCCAGCAGTAAGGTTTTGGATTTCTGGCCCCTATAACCATAAGAAAACGTTTAAGGCATCAAGTTTGTGGTCATTTGTTATATTGGGCGTGTAAACCTAAAATGTGATGTCCATTTCCTGATTTTTATATTGTACTACAGTTTTATGTAAGATGTTACTGGAAGAAGCAGGGTGAAAAGTATGTGGGACTGTTGTAATTTTGCAGCTTCTTGTTGAGTATTATTTCACAAGGGAAAAAGTAAAAAGGGGAATAAAACCTATAAGCCAAAGATGCAAGAAAGTAGAAAGATAATGTGGTAGCTATGATTGTTTCTAGTTTTCTGATCCACCCACCTCCAACACAAAAGGGACCTTCTGTGGTTCTCATACCAGTCTATAAGTGAAAAGGGCAACCAGCCATGCTCTGTACCTGTACAGCAAAAAGCAAGATGTCCCATCTACTGAAGACTCTTATGTTGGGCACAAATACCACCTCACAGAACCTTTACAAAAAGCCTCTAAGGAATTAACCCAGTTACAGAATAAGGAACCTAAGACTCGAGAGAGGTTAGGAATTTCCCTGGAGTCACACAGAATTAGATATCAAAGCCAGGTCTGGTGAGGCCAGAGCATTGTAATAACCATTTTGCAGAAGGTCCTTGAAGACCAGAAGAAGAAGGACTGAACTGAGAAAGGAGAGGCTGGTTTCAAATGCTGGGTAGAGGGTACTTTCTTTTTTAGTAAATTGAATATACTAAATGAGCCGTTGTAATAAGTCATGAAATAGTTGCATCATTCTCTCCTTAATTTCTCCTCAGTTACTTATACATTGCAAATCAATTCATTTCATTCCTCAGGAAGCAAACATTGTGAAAAAACTAATATCTAACATTAGGGAAGAGATTTAATCTCTCCATTGAATGGGTTTATGCATTAAAGAGTAAAGCTTAAGTATATCTTAAAATTATTTGAAAATTGTAAACTGGGAAAATATTTGACAACAAGTGCATCTTCAAAGGAAAAGCTTTAATAAAGATTTAAGATTTACATTATAAAATTCAAATATCCTCCTCTTGATAAGAGTTCAACTTTTGCATTTTCCCCATAGGCTTTTCTATTATCTCTACCCTCCCCCCGGTCTATAACACAGATTCCCTCCCTTACAAGTTAGGAACATTAAAAATTTTAACACACACTTTAAATTTATCAGCATCTAGGTAATATATCTAATCTTCCTTTCCCCTCATCCCCAAGTATACTGTTAGCTGTTTATCTTCTTGGATAAAATTGTGGCACTTTTCCAGTTTTTCTTGATTTTGGGTGTGGGAAGAAAATATTAACACTCACAAAGATTGCTAAAATATACTCCCTAGTAATTCTTTCAAAGAGGGTATGCACGAAATAAAGTTTCTGAATTCTTCAGTATCAAAAAAGATCTTTGTTTTACCCTCAAAATCAAATGCCAATTTGGCTGGATATAGGATTCTAGGTTTAAAGCCTTTTGCCTGCAGAACACTGATGATACTGCCCCATTGACTTCTAGCATCCAGAGTACCCAGTGATAAGTCTGCTGTCAATCTGATTCTTATTCCTCTGTAGGTTATCTCTTCTCTCTCCCTGGAAGCACGTATGATTTTTTCTTTATCATTCCAGTTCCCAAATTTCACCAAGATGTGTCTAGGAGTGAATCTCTTTTCATCAATTTTACTGGGTACTCGATAGGCACTGACAATCTCAAGACTTGAATCTTTCTTTAGCTCTGTAAAGTTTTCTTCAATTATTTCCTTAACTATTTCCTCTGCTCCATTTTCTTTATTCTCTTTTTCAGGAATTCCTATCAAACGGATATTTGAGCTTCTGGATCTATCTTCTACATCTCTTATTCTTTCTTTCTTTCTTATCTGTTTGGCAATTTGCCTTGTATCCTTAAAAAATTCTTCAATTCGACCTTCTAGATTGTTTATTTTCTCCTCTAGCATGTCTATTCTGGCACTCAGAGTAGCGATCAAGCTTTTCATTTCTAAGACTGGAAATTTTTTATTTCCAGGATGGTAACTTTTAATATTTCCAATCTCCTCTTGTATCTCTCTGAATAAATTAATTACACCTTTTCTAAAGTTCTCTTCTGTTTCTTGTAGTAAGTCTGTTTCTTTAGATGTTAGCCTGTGTTTCATCGATTTTTTCTTTTCAGAACCTGAAGCCAAATAACTATGGGTAAGTTCTTTAAGTTGACATGAGGCCTCTTTTTCCTCAGTCTGGGAGGTAGTCTTTCTGCTTTCTGCTTCAGAGTCCCCTTCTTCCTCCCATGTTAAGAACACTTCCAACTCCCACTCAGAGTCTTCCTCCTCTTGCTCAGAATCTTCTACCTTTTTAGTTAAAATATTCAACTCATCACAGGCTATTTTAACTCCATGCTTTGTATTTGCCATAGCAGAATGCTGAAAGGTTGAGTGCTGTTCTTTACATAATACTGAGGCTTCTTTTCCCTCCAGCCCTGAGGTGTTTTCCTCCTCCAAATCTGAAGCTTCTCCTTCCTCCTCTAGCTCTGAGCTCTCTTCTCCTTCCTCCAACTCAGAAGTCCCTTGCTCCAGCCCTGAGGTCTCTTCTCCCTCCTCTAACTCCAAAGCCTCTTTGTCTTCCTCCTCTAGCTCTGAGGTCTCTTCTCCTTCCTCTGACTCAGAAGTCTCTTGCTCCAGCCCTGAGGTCTCTTCTCCCTCCTCTAACTCCAAAGCCTCTTTGTCTTCTTCCTCAAAGGCTTCTTTTTCCTTCCACTCTGAAGCCTCTTCCTCTTGAGCCTCTAAGTTTTTTACCTTGTCTGGCTCAGGAACCTTTACCTCTTTAATAAATAGAAAGCTCAAGCCATCACTGGTTGATCCCTCAGCTCCATGCTTTGAGGCTATTAGAGTTTTATCCTAAAAAAAGAAAAAAAAAGAGAAGTTATTTCTTAAATCATGTGTCTTTTAAATGAACAAAAGCTTTCATTCTCTAAGTTTAATACGGCTGCTATTTTGACAATTAGTAAATATCTAGAAAATTGTTTGAATGACTTCTTAAAGGCTTGGGTCCCCAAACAATTCAAGTTTCCCTTATGATCCCTTCATACCTGTAATCACCCGTGTGCACTTGCAACAAATTTTCATGAGGTTATATATACTGTGTTCCTTCTATATTCCCAACCCTTAGTGTTTTATGGACAACTAACTCTAAATAATGACTTGTATTAGTGAATGTCTGGTTATTACATTCGGGGATGGTAGAGACCTTGTTATCTAACTTTAGGAAGGTTACAAAACAAAAACAAACCAAAAAAACACCCACATTTCCCTTTCCCCCAAAGACAAGCAAGTATCATTTAGTTTTTAAAAATCCCCACCTGCAGTTCAAACTCAAGCCACATTCATTAAAAGGAAAACATGTTTTGGCTAGGAGCACAGGCTCAATTCAAGTCAGATTTGTTCAAATTCAGTTGTGACATTTGCTATCAGTACCTTAATTTTCCCTCTAAAACAGGATCTGATCATAGCAGTACCTCTGTTTGTTTTAAACTCAGTACCTAGATTGCCCTTTTTAACCCTTCAGTCTGTAATATAAATGTTGGCTCAGTATTTCTTAAAACCCTCAGCTTGTCCTAGAGTTTTTCACTCACTGCTATTAGTTAAGACTTTCCCCTGTTTGTAGCTGGTTGATCCCTATTTGTTCTTCAATATCCCTATCTTCAGAACAGGTTAAGTGTCTTACTGTTTAAATCTCTGGGGAACAGCTAATTTCTGAGATTACTTATTCTTAACTAATTTGTTGATTCAAGTGTATCTTCTAATTCTAGATTTCATTTTGCACAGAGGTTGCACTTGAAAATGTTGGGAGGGCAGGGGAACTAGGTGTTCTTTTGAGAACCTGTGAAAAATATTGGCTTAATAATATAGACCTCTGAAAACACAAATAAATGGAAAGATATTCCATGCCCATGAATAGGAAGAATTAATAGTTTAAATATCCCTACTTCCTGGAGCAACCAACAGATTCAGTGCAATTTCTATTAAAATCCCAATTGCATTTTTCATGGACATAGAAAAGGCAATACTAAAATTTGTATGAAACCACAAAAAAACAACAAAAAACTCATATATCCAAAGCAATTGAGAAAAAGAACAAAGCCGGAGGCATCGTACTTCAAAACTACATTACAAAGCTATAGTAATCAAAACAGTATGGTATTGACATAAAACCACACAAATTAAGAAACAAATGAACTCATGCATATATAGTCAATTAATTTAGGAAACATGCCAAGAATATACAATGGACAAAGGATAGTCTTTAATATAAGAAGGGAGAGAAAAAAAGAGAACTCTATGGGATACCTTTTAAGATTGAGATTATAAAAATATTCAGAAAATAAGCTAAAGTGTTTTTAATGTACGGGTACAACATACTCTAATATGTTGTAAGAAACAAAAGCCTTTATACATTGGAATGGATAAAAGTTAGATATTAACATTAATCAACCTGATAGGTTTTAGTAATACAGTTTTATTTGCATTTCCCTGAATGCTAATGAAGAGAACTTAGCAGGACTACCTTACACATTAAAATTTGAACCCAATTTATACTTGAATTCATTCAATTCTTTGTTCCTATTTTCCCCTTTTAATTATTTAAAAGCTATTGTTCTGGTTTTATCTTTAAATATTTAATATACATTTATTTTTCTATCAATGTAGAATATATACAATCTTCCTTCAAACTCTTAACTCTTAATTCTCCCAAGCTTCCAACACCACCCATTAAACAAAACTTTTTAATCATTACTTTTAATGTCATGTTTTTACTTTTAAGGATTTATTAAAAATTGGTTTGAAGACCAACTATATAAGCTCTACAGATTTGCTTGCTTACCATTTTTTCTTGAATCCCGTATCTTCTTCCTTCTTTCTTTATTTTTTCATTTTCTGGGAGTACATCTTTTAGTAATTCTTTCATAAAAGATTTTTGGCTGATAAATTTGCTGAGGCTTTGCATGTCTGAAAAAGTCCTGGTTTCACCATCACATTTAAATGCCAGCTTAACTTGGCATAAAATTTTTGGCTCATAATCATTTTCCCTCAGAATGTTGAAGACATTACTCCATTGCTTACTAATGTCCAATTTTGCTGATGAAAAGTTTGCTGTCAATGTAAGTATCGCTCCACCTTCTTCGGAGGCTTTTAGAATTTTCTCTTTACTTTTGAAGTTCTGAGGGATGTTTTCCTCTCTCATTTCTTTGACTAGCACATCCTCTCCATGCTCTTGGTCCTCTCCTGTAACTTCTATATGGATGTTGCAATTTCTACCCGTGTCATCTGTATAACCTATGGCTTCTTCCATGTTTTCCAGGACTTTGTGATTTTGTGATTCATTTGGGGGCAATTCCTTGCCTTGGTTAGTATTGCACTCTTTAGCTTTGTCAAACTTGCTACCGAGTTTAACTATTTTGCTGCTTTCAAAGGTCAAATTTTCAATATCCTCAACACAGCTGTCTTCTAATTTTTCTACCAATCCTGTTTTTACTGCCATGGCATCTTTTATTTGTCGCCACTCTTTGCTAGTACTGGAATTCTTTCGATTTGTTATTTCAGGTATTGTACGTCTTACTCCTAAAATTTCCTTTAGGTCATTTTGAAGAGATTCCCTCATCTCTTCAACCATTAAGTCCAGATTTCCCATCAAGACTTTAAAATTATTCATAATAACTGCTGACATGTCTTTGTATTTTAAATCCAGTAACTGAGCCATCTCAGTTTCTATCAACTGAATTATCTCCATTTGGAAGCTGTTTTTTTGTTTCTTTGCAAGTCTAGGAATTTCTGATTGTACACTGGACATGATGAATGTTAAACCTGAATTGTCTTTGTTTCCTGAAGAGTAATTTTTGTTCTTGCAGACCTGCTGGACTCCCCAAATTCAAAAATCTTTAACAAATCATCTGAAAAAATAAAAAATAAAAATAAAATTGTTTACTGAAAAATTCTTTATCTTGAGAAACTAATCAAGAAGGTACTCTTAAATAAACTATGTATGTGTACCCCACAATTTAATAAAGAGGCCACTAACAAGATGTGTGTATGTACACTAAAACAAACAAATCAATTCAAAATTCATACATGATCATTAAAACGCCATTCAAGACTTGAATGTAATAAGTCTAACGTGATTTGGATGGAATCTTACACAAAATGGAGAAACAGAAGTCCCCTTTTTGACTGCAGAGATTCACATTAAGACTTTGCTTTCAAAATCAGATGTCAAGTCAATTCATAATTTTTCCATAGTGCACATGTTTAGACAATCTTGAAGGAAGCAGAATTAAATCCCGTGCCTCCTCCCACTTAACATAGGCCCTAATTTTGCTTGAGGAAACTCACTTAGGTTGTTGTTCTCTTTTGTGTTTAATCATTTCACTATGCTGCAAAAATGCCTTAAAGGAGAGAGACCACCCCCATTCTTTCATTATTTAGGTAACAGGGATGAGAAGTGGGAAAGCACAATACACACACTTTGGACAACAGCTGGGATGCCAGTTCCTGAATCTCTGCAAGGCCTTGAAGGTAATCAAGTTTTACCAGTTGAGTTTACTGCTCAAGAACTAACAATTATACCACCCGCTGATTCATCATGGCACAATTCATCATTTTCCACAATTGATGATTGTGTAGTTTCTTTTTAAACTGAACTTGCCAGTTTAAAAAGAAAAATGACACCTTTATGAGGATACAAGTATAGATAAAGCATAGTTCAAACACAGGAGTATTATTAAACTTTCACAATTAAATTTAAAAATTGAGGACCAACTTTTATCATAATGTTACCAAAATTTTTCCAGAGATGAGCAACAAAAAGGAAATATTTGAATACATTCTAGGAGGCCAGATTAACTTCAATAACAAGCCAGAGGACAATTCATTTTCCCTCAAACTCATAAATATAGATGCAAGAGCCCTAGCGGTTTTGGCTGTGATTAGAGCATCTCTCACATTGATGCTTCTCTCTCCCACTCTCTCTGAAAAGTAATGGGAAAAATATCCTTGGGAGATGATTTAAAAAAAAATAAAAAATAGATGCAAGAACCTTAAAGAAAATAGTAGCAAATCAAACCCAATAATATTTAAAAGGATACATTACCAATATTAAACTGGTTTATTCAAGAATTCAAGGAGAGTTGCTATAAAACACAATAGGGAGTTTCTCAAAAAAATTAAACACAGAATTACCATATATCCAGCAGCTCCACTTCTGGATATTTATCCAAAAGAATTAGAAACAAGGACTAGGTTATTTGTACAACCACATTCACAGTAGCCAAAAGGTCAAAGCAACCCAAGTACCCTTCAAAGGACGAATGGATGAACATAATGTGGTACATACATACAATAGGTTCTTCAGCCTTCAAAAGGAAATTCTGACACATGCTACATCCATGAACCTTGAAGACATTACTCTAAGTAAAACAGGCCAGTCACGAAAGGACAAGTATAGGATCCCACTAACGAGGTACCTAAAGCAGTCAGATTTACAGGAAGAAAGCAGAATGGTGTCACCAGGAGCTGGGGGGAAGGTGGAACAAGGATGTAGTGTTTAACGGGCAGAAAGTTTCAGGTTCAAAAGATGAATTTAAAAGTCTTAAAGTTATGATATAATAACTCAAATTATGAGTGATGGGGGTAAAGGGAAAGTGTATACTAAAGACCTTGATTAAGTCAGGGAAAGGTCAAAAGAGGAAAGATAAAAATGACCAGCCACATCTCACGCCTTTATAAAATCAACTCACAAATCCAGCACCAGGGGTGGTACCTGAAGCTCATCTCAGAGGCTGTGGGTGAAGTACCCAGAACCGTGCACAAGTGGACAGGACCTGCCAAGGGCTCCAGTACTTCAGTGACGGGGGAGGGGCCTGATCGAGTTTAGGAGACAAAGGGAACTGTGCACCCCTATTTGGATCTCGGTTTGAATAAATCGAGTGTGGGAAAGCAACAAATTTTGAATCTGAACTGAGAAATGTTATTAAGGACCATGAATTTATTTAAGAAAATGCTCTTACTTTTTAAGATAAAATAGTAAAGTTTTTAAGGGTGAAATGACACAATGTCTGGGATTTACTTTAAAATACTGCAGGAAAAAAAAAAGGAATAGATGAGGCATATGGGGAGATGCTTGCTCTTGAATTTGGGTGGTGAGTTTGGGAGTTTATTCTTTCGCATGCTTGAAAGTGCTCCTAATTTTTTAAAAAACTGAAAGTTGTTGCCTGGCTGGCGTGGCTCAGTGGGTGAACATTGACCCACGATCCAGATGATGGTTCAATTCCCAGTCAGGGGCTTGCAAGAGACAACTGATCAATGATTCTCTCATCATTGTTTCTCCCTCTCCCTTCCCTTTCTCAAATAAATAAAAACATGTTAAAAAAAAACAAAAAATGAAAAAAAAAACAAAAACCCCACTGAGCTCCCCCAGCTGAAACACACAGACTGCTCTATATGTCCTACAAAAGATACTCTTAAAGCAAAATGACAAAAAATAAAAAACAGGGAATAGGAGCAAAATTATACAGATAAATTCAGACAATAAAGCACAGAGGTCAAGCCCGGCCGGTGTGTCTCAGTTGGCTGAGTGTGGTCACTTGCACCAGGAGGTCGCTGGTCAGATTCCTGGTCAGGGCCCATTACCGGGTGTGGGCTCAGGCAGTTTCTCCCTTCCTCTCTCTGAAACCAGTAAAAATTTTATTTTTTTAAAAAAGTACAAAGTTCAAAAGTATGAGAAAATGCAAAGAGAAAATGTTATGGTAATCCACACAAACATAAATATCTTTGTGCACCCAACAATGTAGCTAAATCAAAACCAAAAAAGGCAAAGGTTGAGATAAAAGTAGAAACTGAAAAGTGTAAAGAATAAAATCAAAAGCCAGAGAAAAAATTACAATGTGTAATATTAAGCATGAGAAAAGGAGTCAGGACAAGGATTTTAAAACATGATTTGCAAATGAATGTTAAAATAATAAAAAGGCTAGATGAAATGATATCCTAGCAAAACTTTTAAATAAAATATTGCTCCAAAAAATAAAAACACAAAACCTTCATCAGATCAGTATTATAAAGAGAAATCAATAAAATGTTCAACATTTTAAAAGGTTCCACGTCAACAAGTTTCCATTTAACTGTATAGGACAGACAATTTTAATTAAGTAGTTCTGCATAAAAGCTGAAACAGGCAAGTAGTTCACAGAAGAGGAAATACAATGAAATTCTGCAACAACCACAAAAATTATTAGCTTATTACAGTAAGAATTTAAATAAATTGATAAGCTAAAATAAACGAGAGAGAGTGGCAATACCAAACATGAAAAAAGTGTCCAAATCCCAGGAAGTGGAGATATTAGTGGGGGGAAAGCACTTTTACCTATCTGGAGCGGGAACAGTTACAACTTTTCAAGAAATTGGAAAACCCATTAAAACCTCTCCTTGAAAGCTACACCAGAATAAAACCACCAGCACTGAAGAGTACAGGAACAAAAAGCTTGGCTTTGTTGCCAAGCTTGTTGTTACAAAAACCCAGGAAACAATGTCCTTTAACAAGAGAAGGGCGGAACCAGGGAAGCTCTGTGCACTGTACCATTATATGCAGCTATTAGAGACATACATTGGTGAGGGATGTCCTTGGCATGAGAGGGAAAAAACAGCTTGCCGAATGTGTACATAGTTCTATCCCATTTTTGTAAGCACACACACAAAAATCACAAAAATGAGCATTGATAATAAACATGATAATATGCTCAATTTTATTCGTTACAGGAACATAAACCAAAACAGATTCCAGTGCTTGAAAAAATTGATTACAGCCAGTGCCGGGGCAAATTTTATCTGCCCTTCCACCTTGAAAAGGGCACTGGTACTTGTTAGAACCTGTTGGGTAATTAAAATATGAAAAGAATGCCATTAAAAAGAAAAGAAGTTAAAGTTAGTATTTTCCTTTATTTGCTCCTAAACCCAGGAAAAACTTGTATGTAGCCACACAAACTCGGGGGGGGAGGGGTTCCACAGAGAATTGGGTGGGGAATGTTAACCATTTTTTCTCTAGCTAAGTCCACAATACAGCCAGCAAATTCAGAAAAAAAGAACAAATGAAAAAAACCCACTAAGAGTAGGCTGCCCGTTTTAAAATTAATTCACCAAAGAGGAAATGCAAGTAGATGATAAACATATGAAAAGACAGCATTCACTGGCAAAGGAAATGCAAATTGAAACCAGCTTTTTTCCATCCAGGAGATTAGGGGGAATTTACTCTCCCACCCAGCGCCTCGGGTGTTTGAATCCTAAATATTTCTCGCCCCTCCTAACTGGATCTTGGCTGCAAAGTTTGCCCTCCCATTGTATTGTTAGAGTAACTTCCATAAAACATAAGTCAGAACTCATCACTGCACTGATTAAAGTATCCAAAGGCTTTCTTTTCTAAACCACCTTGATGGCTTCTAAACCTGATCAGAAATTCACAAACTTTGCACCAGCCTAGGCGTGTAAACCTTGCTTCCCACCCGGACTGGGGATTCTCAAGCCAGAGTGGATAGAATTTCAGGGTACCTAGGATCTTGGGTGGGAAAGAGACCACATATTTATTTTTATTTGTCTTGGACTAGGATTTAGCATTTAAATTCAATTACTAAAATAATAACTTTGAGATGTAGAACATGTAAGTTTCTTAATCTATTATTTAACAATATTGAGTGGTGAGTTAAACTACTTTAATTTTGTGAATGTAAAACTGTTTCAAGACACCTGCAACAGCTGTAATGTGGAATGAAAATACCCATGGTTTCCAGTGGTGACCAGGTCATGCTTTCTGCTAATAAAGCCCCACTGCGAGCAAGGTCAAGGATGCCCCTCCCTAGATTACCTACTGCAAGATTCACTCATCAGTGCAAAGGTCAATTCCCAACTCACTTTAAAACATGCAAGCCCAGACCCGCCCGCTCACCCCCTTCTATATTTTCCCCCAGAAAGATTACTTAATGTTATTTATCATAACAAAATATTTATGTATTTTACCTAAGAGTGATGGTAAACAGTAAAGTAAAAATTAAAATCATGAAAACAAAACACAAGAAATGTTTATTTAAAACAACACACAAAATACCGTGATCTTTAAAATTTCTACCTACACAAATATGTGAGAATTAAAATAGCAACATTTAAATGGTAGAGATTTTCATTTTACGGCACTAACGTTTTACTAATTACCAGCCTTCTTAAGCAATGATAATTATGGAACAAAAGACTGGTGAAAACTTGCATTTAACTTCAACAATCACTAGCCACCCTTTTCTTCCCTTCAGCTTTCCCTCCTTCACCTACTTCATCTTTAAAAGTTATTTTAAAGTTTGGTGCAATCACAAAATTAGAAAAGTGTTGCAGATACAATACAAGAAACTTTAGATTTCTTGGGGCATTTGGGAATAAATTGCTAACCTGGTCTGTCTTCATTATTGACCACTTTTAGCGAGCATTTTCTACAAACAGGGGCATCCTCCGTCACAACCAGGGTACAGTGATCAAAACCAAGAAGTTAACAGGCTGCTTCCCTCCCATCGCCCGCCCGCGCCCCCAGCCGCCAAGCCCCGGGCTCCCGTCTCAGCTGCTCACCCGCTGGGGGTCCCCGGCCTGGAGGAGCCCCCTGCAGAGCGGGCCCGGGTCCCCGGCACAGCCGCGGCTCAGAGCCTAAAATTCACGCGCGGCTCATGGTGTGTAATTCAGAGTTTAAGGCTTCAGTAGAAAATCACCCCATTTTTCACACAGGAAGAAAAGGGACTTCTATCGTCACGTGTTTGTTAAAATTGATGTGATCGTTGAAATAAAGATGAAGACACAGGAAATTAGTAACTGGGCCTGGGGGGGGAGTGAGGAGAGGGTGCAGGGGAGGGAAGGGTGCAGGTAGAACTTGGGGAGGTGAGCAAACGGACAAAGGGAGAGGGGGATTCCTTCTTTGTGCTAATTGGGGTCCATTTTCTAAGACATTTTGGCGGTAAACATGTATTTCTGTTTCTGTTTGAAAGGAAATTCAATCAATTCTTATAACAATGAAGGAAATGCAGGAAAAGTTACTACTTCCAAATCTACCTCCCAGTCAGGTAAAGAAATAACTCTGAAGAGCTTGGAGATGGAAGTTCAAGGCCTCACATCTAGGAAATGGAGATAGGCCTCACATCTAGGAAATGGGGTCCGCCTGGCTCCAAAGCTCTTATTCTATTGTTGCCAAGAGACACCAGGTAAATTTTACCTTCCTGGCCCCTTTTTTTTAAAAAAAAAAATCTAGTGCTCAAGAACTTCCCGGCCTCCTCAACTTCATCTTCCCCTCATGGCGCTGCTATTTGAACATCCCCACTCTCCGAGCAGAGGAAGCTTTAGGAAGGTGCCTTCCTCACTTGCCAATGAAGGACAAAGCGAGCTGTAAAACTGGGGGCCCGGGGCGGCCCCCGACCCCCACGGCTGCCAGCCTTACCTGGGGAAGGGATCCGACCCGAGGACGCAGCAGACACCGTGCAGAGAAGCGAGGCCTCACACACAGTCCTGGGCTGGCTCCTCCCCTCCTTTTGTGGCGCTTGAAAGCCCCTAGGCCCAATCCCCTCACAATCTCACTCTCGGGTCCCCTCTGGAGCTCCTGTCCTGCCCTGAAGCCATCGCTGACCGTCACCTGGGCGTCTATTCCCAGCTCAGATTCCAGGGCGCCTGGGGCTGACCCTGCCCTACCCGCCGCCTGCACCCCCCCTCGAGTCTGGACTCTAGGCTCACTTCTCAAAAAAGTGAGGGGTTATCCCACCAGTACCCAGGCATAGCCCCAGGGGTTATCCTCGATTCCTCTCTTTTCTGAAATCCCCACATTTAATCATTCCCAAGCCCTTGAATGTGTCCGCCTCGCTGCCTCCCCTTGGCTCCGGCCTAGTTTGAACCCATCATCTCTCACCTGAATCCTTGAAATGAAAAACTAGCCTCCTAGCTTCTCCTCTGGCCTCTCTGCAATCCTTTCCTCCATGTAATACCTCCTGGTGGCTTCCATTTCAATTAAAAATTCTAACTACTCATTCCATTCTGATACCTCCCCTTCAATGTTGTGCAAGTACTACTACTCCCTGTAATAGAAACAGTCTCCCTCCTGCTCTTCAGAAATCCTGAGATTCCTGCCTCAGGGCCTTTGTCCCAGCTGTTATCTGGGAGAACTATTTCCCCAGTTCTTTCCTGGCTGACTGCTTTTCATTCTCAGGCATAGGGTCAAATGTTAACTAGTCTAAGAAGCCTCCCAGGCCACCCTTTCTAAAGGGGCCATACACACCCCATTACTTTACTCCTGTTAAAAAGAGCAAATTCAACTGAGTATGTTTAAAGACCCAATTGACTTCATTAAGTGATTCATGAATCAAACAGCTTCCCATCTAGTAACTGGAAGGGGGCTCCAATGAGTTGTACAAAATGGAAAGTATTTATAAGCAAAAAAAGTGGGACTAAGAAATTAAAAGTGGGTTATTTCAGGCAAGGGCTCCTAACCTTACAGGAAGATTACCTTACTAGTGTTGATCAGAAAATTCCAGACTGATTGGTTGAAATTTTCACTCCTGGGAGAGGGGCTGAAATTGAAATTAGGTTAGTTAGTATGGGTTTGGTGACGAGGCTTAGCAAAA